GAAACTTTGCATAGAAAAAAGCCTTAATAAGAATAGTTGATTGTGAAACTTTAAAATATTTTCGTTGTTCATATCCTAAGATACAACCTTGATGAAATGGCGTCTTTTACATCGTTCATATACATTCGTAGAATCAATGTTTTTATTTCAGGATAGGAAAAACAAAAATATTTAGAACTTTCATGGTCAACTATTCCCGTTAAGGTTTATTCCTATTCAAAATTTCAAATCGAAATTCAAAAATAAGTTTTTCTGAGGGAAAAGACCACGGCATTGTATTGAAAAAAACTGTACAAATGTGATATATCGTCAACAATAAGTTATGGGATTGAACTCTTCGGAGATATTCATAGGTCATTAGGATCCATATGATATACACGCTTCCAATTTAAGAACTATTCATCAGTTGAAGAACTTTCCTCGTTAGCGTTATACTTTATATATGTTGATATTATTTATTTTAGATGATGCGATATACACATATTCCTGCACATAATAAAATATTACAATAAATTTTTAAATAAAGAAGAAAAAAGAACTCTGAATAATGAATAAGTACATATGTATATAATTTCTAGTTAATATCAATCATTTTGTTTTTCTTTTGAGTTATTTTTCTTTTTGCTTTCTATTTTCACAATTGAACTAAAACAAAAAATATATCTCTTCAGATGGTATATGTGAACTTTTTTTTTTCAAAATTCTATACTTTTTCTTTTTGTTATTGTTCTTCTCTTGAAAACAATTAATTGTTGTTTTTGTCTTTTGATTTTCATAATGTGATAAAAATATGTCATTTTTTTTTTCGTTGGTATATAAATATCTATCTTTAGATATTTCTTTCTTCCTAGTTCATTTATTTGTTCCTTCTAGTATTTCGTTTCGAACAGTCAGATAGTTAAATTGTATGTGTTAAAAAAAACAGATGTTATCTTGTGTTAATATTTTTTCATTTGTTTTTCTCAGTACAATTTGTTGGTAATGTCCTATGAGAATATTTGATCATATAGTATATTTGTTTCGTATTATTAGATGTCAAAGTAAAAAAAAGAAGAGAATAAAAATTATTATAAATAGAACAAATAATGTCATGAATTAAAATAGTTTGATTCAAATGAAAACAATGAATGCAAGAGATGGTCCAATATTTTTTTTGAATAAACTTGGAATTTTTGCAAATTCCATTAAAATACTAACGTAATTATTCAAACTATGATGGTTTTTTTAATTTTCAGAAATTTACTTTGAAGTAACAAAATGGTGCTTTCATAGAGAAAAAAAATCGTTTTGTTAAATGAATATTAATGTATATGCAAACTATCGTTTGTTGAATCGAGTAGAAACCCAGGATGATATTTACAGTTGCCGAGATAGCTAAAATCGGTACGGTATACTGTTGTTTCATACAATTACTGGTCGCACATAACTGTAAATTGACGTTTAGTAGACATAGTATTACGACCGTATTTTAGTCGTGTCGTACACAGTTGATAATGATGTGAAAAGCAAGTTTCTGACAGTTTACAACACAATAAAATATGATTGTATACGATCGTGCTTATTTGATCTGAGAAAGGAGTTTTTATAAATTTTGAATAAATATAATTTCTGTAATGTAGTGGCATTCACTATAGTTATTTTTGTTTTCTTCTTTTTGTTTCTGTTATTTTCCTGTTTCTTGTTTTCGTTCCATCTGGGGAGAACGCCAAAAGTATACACATACACATATATATATATTGTTTTTCTTTCGTTCTGTGATCTTTTCTTGATCTCAACATATACTCGTTATTGTTGATCAAGGTCAAAAAAATGTTATATTCGACCTTGACTTTATTCTATATTATGTAGATAATATTGTCTATTATATAATATATATTCTCCGTTTTTGTAATAAAAACTTGATTTTATCGTATTAACCTGAATACGTGACAATTCCACATTTTATTCAATAAAAATTTTATATCAAATGGATGAATGCAGTGATGATGTATAATTTACGTAATTCATTGACACTGAGATTACTACTTTGATATATTACATTTTTTGTTTAAAATATATTTTATACCACCTCACTCATTTCGTCTTTTATTATAGTACTTTTTGGACCGGTCTCCCTTTCGAAAAATTTAAAAAAAAAATGATTCTTTGCTGTATTTGCACTCAAGAGTTTCTTATCACAATGTAGGAGTTTATATGTGTAGTTGATGGTTTTTTTTTGTTTTTCATTCTTATCATTCGGTTGTGCATACTACTAGAACAAACGTATCATGGTTCAGATTTCTATTGATAATACTCCACATTTATTTACGATTCGTTTAACGACTTTTGATGCATTAGTTCAAGCTATTGCACAACGTACAGGAACAACTAAAATCTTACCATTATCATATTTGGATAAAAATAGTAATGCATTTGTTCGACTAGAAGGTGAAGATATTGAACCACTTCGACGTAAAACTCATGTTAAAATTAGTTTGGGTGGATCATATTCAGCATCATACGACGGTGAATTGAATAAAGAAGGAAAAAGACAAGGTCAAGGAATTTATCGATGGTCTAATGGTCGAACGTATATAGGAGAATGGTATGAAAACAAAATGGATGGAGACGGAGCAGAGTCATGGCCGAATGGATCTCAATATCAAGGACAATTTAGAGCAAATAAAAGACATGGTCAAGGAACTTTTACATGGCCAGATGGTCGACAATATGTCGGTAAGACTAAAAATAGAAGGATATCTTTATTGGAATTTCATTGATAAATAATTATTAAATTGAAGGAGAATATCGCAATGATTATCGACATGGTTATGGTGTATGTACCTTTCCAAATGGATATAGATATGAAGGAGAATGGTGTGGAGGCAGAAAACATGGACGAGGTATTGAAATATTTCCTGATGGACATCGTTACAATGGAATGTTTGAAAATGATAAAGCTGTTGGACCTTCATCAGAATAACTTCATATTCTTATGAAAGAACATTGAAAAAAAACAGGTGTTGAATCATCTCATATTATTGATGCTTCTTAATTAATATTTTATTTAATGAAAAAATTACTTTGAAGTTCACATTTGTATTATAAAATGTCGTCTTTTAATATGGAAAAAGTTTTTTTTTAAATACTCTTCATTAAACTCAACATTATATTGTAATATTTCTTTCATTAGAACATCAGTTATGCACATAGAGTGAGTACCATCATTATTCAACAACATTTATTTTCAATTTTATTCCGCTACTATAAACGTTAGAAAGAATCCAAATAGTGATTCCAACAGACAAAATCGTTTCTAACAAGAATATAAGGAAATAATGATTATTATCAGGTTCACAACGATAGAGATTCCAAAAAATCAAAACCTAGTTTTTCAATATTTCGAGCGCGTAAATATAATTTTATTTAGACTACAGAGAACGATAGAGTAAACCATTCTCTATAACATGAGACATCGTCAAATTCTTTGTGATATTTTTTGACTGCGATACAGCAATTTGGTTAGAGTCCAAAAAATGATTTTTCTGTAGGAAATCGGAAAAAAAAGACTAGGGAAGCTTCAGTAAGATTTCTGTATATCAGCCAAAAAAATGTCGCAGAGAACTTGAAGACATATTATTTTGTAGAGAATTATCTGCTATATCGTTCTATGTAGTTTGAACAATTCTATTTACTCGTTCTAGGTGCTGAAAAACTAGCCTTTTGATTTTCTGGAGCCTCTGTCTTTTGATTACCTAATAATAATTTTTATTTCCTTATATTCATTTTAAAAACAATTTTCTCTATTCGGATCAATATTTGAATTCATTCTAGCGCTTACGGTAGCGAAAAAAAATTGAAAATAAACTTCATTGAATAATTCTTGTATCCACTGTATATCGAATCCTAGTAGAATATTTATGACAAAATAATATGACTTACAAAGACGCAATGTTGTTAATTAGGAGTGCTAAAAAGTTATTCTATTTTTCACCTACAGCTCATAATCATTATTTCCAGTTACATGAAAGTGATGCAAGCATTTAATTTATACGCTGAAGCATCATTAAAATCGGATGCTCAAACTTTAGATTATTATGTATTACTTTTATTCAAATTGAACATTAATATTATCAAAAACTAATAAGAGAAAAATTAGTAAGTTTGAACAACAATGAGTGAAGAATATTAAATAAAATATTTCACTGATTAACTTCTATTTTATCCGAGCAGATTTCTACTAGGTTTTTTATTAAATAATCATGTTGCTAACTATAAATCATATCTAAAATTATTTCTTTTTTAGAAAATTAAAGATATTTTTCTAGTTATATATGATACAGAAAAGCTGCACAATAGTGTTGCATGTGCTTCAGTTCAATAACTGCTACTATACTTGATAAGAAAGTTCACAAGTATGATTCTCTTTTAGTTTTGAATGAAAGAAAACTATTTTATTCATTTTTGAACTAGTTTTACATGAGATTAAAAAAAATAAAAACCGGCACCTATATTCTGCTTTTCACCAACATTCTATAAAACATGAGACGAATGAATTGATGAACTATTTTAGAAAAATTGATATTTGTCATTTTCATAAAAAATAGTTCTAATGTTTTTTTTTTCATCAAATACATTTATATGACAATGAAATATGGAGCATTCGTTATTTCTGATGATTTATAGTTTCTTATAATTTTATCTGAATACTATCAATTTGGTATAGACTTAACAAATGATTTACAATTTTTGTGGCTTGAATCAATATTTTGAAAGAATTTATGGTTAACACTTGCTCAGAATTACAAATACAGATTTGAGGGACGACTTTAAGTCGCAGCATATAAGTTTTACATTCAAGATACTTTGATATGATTTCCATGTATTTTGTAATCAATTGAACTGAAATATTCTTGACTGAAACATAAGACAATCAAAATTACTTCAGTAACTTTTATTTATGAAAAAGTTTGTTTCATGTATAAGGAAAGTGACAATAGAAATAGAATCGTGCAAACTAGTTATTTGATTCGAAGTTTTGATGGTTGTGCAATGAAATATGAACAGAATTGTGTCCAGGGCGAGAAATCAGATTTTGAAGGATCGACGATCGGTAAGCCTCTGTTATCTTTGTTGCGAACTGGTGTACCTGGAGAACAGAAATAAGACAATAAACTATTTCTATTTTTATTTTTGAATTCTATGTGCTCTACCTCCTGGTTTATGTGACCAATAACCATTTGCATCCTATAAAAAAAGAGAAAATATTCAAAAGTCAAATATTATATTTCTATATGAATGTTCTCAAACCATTCTTATCCAATGAAAGTTTGTGTCTGGCCAAATAAGCAATGCAGCAAAGTGACCATTTTCTGGTGGAGTTTTTGGTAATTTTGTGCCATTGTAAACTAAACCATCACGAACAGATGCATTTCCCATATCTACACACGTATTGGATGACCATATCTTTCCACTACCTCGACCTATAGAGGAAAAAGAATTCTTAGTTTTTGATGGCTCATTATGTCATGTTTTGATATCTACCCGGTTGGGGATAAGTATTTGTAACAATATCAGTACCTAGAAAGAAAGAAAAAAAAATAACATCAAGAAGTGTTTTAAATTGCAAATAATGGAACTATTAGTCAATTTATTTACATTGATTCTAAACTAAAAACATTTGAATTTCTTTTTGTTGAGAAATATTATAAAAGTAGATATAATAAAAAAGGCACAATAACTGCATTAGTCTACGTCATCTTTATAGTTACTCATGAACTACTATTACCGTAAGCATAACAATTGTTTTCCGTTTGTCTTGTAATGAAACATCCTTCATCATCTGATTTTGGATCATATTTAGGTACAGTATCAGGACCTACGATTGGAACATGGTTACAATCAGCATTATTAGACTCTATATGAGTAATGTCAGACATAACTTCTCCGACATGATCTCTGACATGACGGATAACCGATGCCGAAAGATAATGACGACCACCAAGCAATAACAAATGTTCAACTGGAGATAAGCCATGAACAAAAACAGGCTTGTCAGAAGAACAACTTATTGTGAATCCTTGATAACCCATAATTCTTGTTGTTGGCTTACTTAATAATGTAACGTTATTATGTTGATACAAAGATTCATAAGCTAGTTGTTTAATTTTAGTTAGTTGTCTTATATTAATTTTCCAAACTGGATTTGATGTTCCAGAAAATACATGAAGTGTAACAGATGGTTCATCACATTCTAATGCTTGTAATTTTGTTAAGTGATCTTTATTAAATTGACAGCTTGTTATTGAAAACAAGCATAAAAGAAAACCAAACAAATAAACGCATTTAAATACCATCTGAAGATAGAAAGAAGATTTGCTACATAATAAATTCAAATAACAAAAGAAAGGCAAGGCCAAAGTAATATTATACTCATCTACCTTTTAATTGTAGAATAACGATATTTGCATCGATTACTTGTTGTCTTTCTTTTTGTTCTCTATTACACATCACTTTATTACTATATTTTCTTTATAATATAAATGATTGAAAAAAGTTTATGGACAAAATAGACTGTATTAGAATGAAATTATTCTCGGATTCTACGAATGAATAGCTAAACATACGATGGAGATGTTCTTAGCAATGACCAATATTTTGACTAAAAATTATCAACTTTTTAAGTAGACGAATTTTCAGCAGTAACAACAGGCCAAATGTTCTGAAAGCGTTATATTCCAATAAAAAGAATCATTTTTAAAATGTAGATACTATGTATTTACTGCGTTCGCAAAATCGATTGTCTTCTGACGTACTATTTAAGATTTCTTAATATGTTCTTCATTATATGAAATATTCATTAAAAAAAAAGTATTGCTTTCGAGCTTCTCTATGACTTAACTGTCTCTCTCGTTTTCAATAGATGATAATCATATTCAGTTAGCTGTTCTATAGATAAGGTGTACATCATAATTTGACTATTCATTTGATTTTAGTTTGTAATAATACATTTTCCACATATATGGCTTCACCCTGCTATTATTTGACTTACGTGTATTCGTTCTACGTTTGTGTGTTACAACAAAACAAGTAAGATCAATGTCCTTTGTCTTTCTTTTTTTCGTCATCTTATCTCGCAAGCATGACCAAATAAAAATAAGAACTATTATCAAAACATTACGTTCTGAAGTCACAAGACGTAATTACACAGTACATGAAAAATAACAACAACTCCACAGTTCTATGTCAACTCAACAATGATGAATATTTGTGTGATTCACGAAATATTTCATTGTGTTAGATATTACAGTGCAGAAATTTGATGACAATATAAAATTGAGAAATTATGCAATTGGTATAAATCTTCTTTCGTCAAGAATTGATGCATACAGTCAAATAAATCTCTGATGTAATCATCTTTAGTACAAGATGTATTCTTTATAGTTAATGAATCAAGATTTCTTTTGAAAATTTTTCTCTGAACTGTAGCAAACAGCTCACAAAACAATTAGAAAAATAAGAAATAAACGAATAATGATCGAAATAATGGGCATGTTACAAGACATGCACCGAATAAATTGTGTTGCCAGTTGATATAAGATACTTTGTAGAACAATATAAAATATCTTCATTTGTAACCTATGAAAATAAAGTGAAAAGATTTGCACCATTATCGAAACTCTACAATACATCTGTACTATTTAACAACATTTATTTGCTGCTAGATCGATCCGATCTAGAAAGAGAATAAAAAAGTAGATGATTAAGTTTCACACGCCGTTCAGCAATACCTAGTATGGTTGATAGAATTGCTATTGGAATGACAAAATTATGAAAATTTATAATATATTAGTTAGAAAGATGACGTTGATAAAAGCAATGTTAAGTAAGCAGACATTAAAATTCACGCGGTTCGCCAATTAATAGATGTATTTTTCAGTGAAAAAAGTCGTTTGAAGCTCAAACAAGTTGTATGCACTTTATTTTTCGACATAAAGCGCTGATCATTTTTTAAATACTTTGTTTGCTTGATTAAAAAACAGAATTTACATAATTAGACATGAGCGGCTTCTCAGATCACTCATGTGGTATTTCTGCATCCTTAAACGAAAGATCATTCAATTGGGATTCTCCTGTCTACACTAAAGTGTAGACCGAAGGGCAACTAAGTCCAGATCCCGGTCTGTTTAGGGAATGTGAACCTCACGTAGAAAACACGCGTACTCGATATTGATGTCATAATGAGGGAATGATGTTGCTGATGACGTTTTATTAGTAAAATAAAACCAGAAGATTTCAATAAGAAGAAGAGAAGAAAAGATATGAAAAATGAGGAATAATAGGAAAATCAATAAAAACTGGAAAAAAATACAAGTAACCACTATTGACACTAACATACTCTTCACTTCATCACATTATAATTTCAGCAGGTCGATACATACACAGGATGATTTCAATCGATGAAGAAGCTGGAAGGCTAACAAAGTTGATTGAGGTGGCGCTTCTTTTCGTTTCCACTCGCCACCAGTGTTCAAGAAAATCAGCTAATCATTTGTCTATCGGTGTTTTTTGTTCGTGTCCAATAGTAAATCACATTTGTTCAGTTCAAGCTCCGAAGTATCATATTATTTGAGATAGATTGATTGAGACATTTCTTGTATTTACTTTTTCACTGTTGAATCGAGCTTGTCGTTGATTCGAAGCTAAACAATAAATTGGCAGATTCATTTTCAAATGAAATCCTATCAATGCATTGTTACTCGTTTCGTAGGGGCACATTAACAATTTGACCAATTTGCAACTTCTTGGGTTCCACGCCAGGATTAGCGGCGAGTATTGCTTTTGGTGTGCATCTGTACTTTCGATTCAAAGTCCACAGAGTATCACCTTCTTCGATCCTGTAGCTTAAAGTTTTTGATTCGTTGAGAGAGACACAATCTAAGTACGAGTGTACAGATTTTTTAACACTTAAAGATAAGAAATTCAATAAGACTATCGTTTCTCTCACTAAAATGTATTTTTGTGTGTTTATATCTCATCCATAATTTTTCTACTAAAATGACCATCGTTGTTTAATCATATTCACTATCGAAACCGTATACGCATGATCAAGCTTACGATAGAGAGAAAACAGATAACACGTCTATGTTTTTCTTGCTGTTGTTTTACTCAGTAGTTGCCTGGTAGACGTAGATCATAGATATGATGAGACGGCAATTATGCGGAAATTCACATCAGATGCAAATGATTTATCAACAATTCACTTTATTCTTTCCCTTTTGCTTGTTTTTATACAGGATGTCCTACAAAGTCCATTTCTAAGAGAATTTTGTACAATTCTCTTACATATAAAGTCAATTTGGTCATTTTTTTCTTTCATATAATAGATGTTATCGTCACGATTTTGCTCTCAAAACAGAAGCTCACTAATATTGCTGAAAACGATGGCCTTCGACTGTACGAAAACAAATTTCCCCAACTTTATCCGATTGGGATTAATATGGGAAACATGACGAAACCACTTAAAGCATGGGCATGAAATGTTAATGCGTGTTTTGTTATTTTTAGGAACATCTACAATCTACGCGTCGACAATTTCTGTTCCTATCACAGAGCATGGCATGTATGTTTATTACTGTCTCTGAAGCAACCTGATCCCTTCCTTCTCCCATCATAAACCTCAATACTCACTAGCTATTGTGTTTCACAAAACCGTGATTGAGAGTGAAAGTGAAGACAAGATCTACACTAACTCTACATCTACTCGCTACTCTCGCGCTCTAGAGTTTCGAAAGTTCTCATTGCTTGCCCTCTAGGACGGTAGGTTATATCTATCGTGCCATGATTCGTAGACATAACAAATATGGTAGGATATCGATATTTCTGCATACAAACTGACACTATTTCGATATTTTGTTTTAGAAATATGTATTAAAAAAATAAGGTCTACCGTCTGATGTATCGTGCTCCATTGATTGAATAAACCTTCCAAAACAGTATTCGTCTTCATGAAATAGTTTCTAACACTCTAACAATTATTTGTCTCGTCTGCCTAGTTTTCTATTTACAGTCTTTGAAGAATATTTGTATATAGCGAACAAAATATGGTGCAATACACAACTTCAAAAGAGATTCGTACATGATTTAAAACCTAAAAATAATTTTCAGAGTTGAAACTCATTCGACACTTTTTTGAAGGTTTCGTGCATGCATACAAAACTCTTGAAAAAGTTTTCTAGATGCGTGACAAGTCTTTCGAATGGTTTCGCACTAACGTATGAAATTTTAAAAGGTTTCGCACTAGTTTCAATTCTCGAAACCTTTTTTTTTCGCCCATGACAATTTCCAGTTTCGCAGCCATTTTCGAACAATTGATGAATGCACAGTCATCAAGCCTATCGTATGCAATAGCACAATTCCTCTGAACCTTTTTCGATTGACTGTTTTGTTTCACTATCAAGTGAGAAATGTTGTTGAGAACAGAATTTTTCCAGATGCTCTACTAAACACATGAAATCATTGTTAGACTTACCTCGTAGTGTCTGTGCAATCTGATCGGCTGTTAAAATTGGCAAACGGTTGATTTCCGAAAGAACCTGTAATTACAGTAGCAGATATTAGAACAAAATATCTCTGAGATCTATGGAATAGAAAGAAATCGCTAGCATAATATAACAGAAATTCACCTTATTTATATCACAAGAATAGTCGTCGTTTGGCAATAAATTTTCTTGTTCATATTCGAGATATAATTGAAGGGGATGTGGAAACAGAAGACTTAGATCCGTCTCCGAGTGATGTGGCGCACTAGTGCATTGAGATGGATGTTCGCAGTCTTTAAGCACTTCCATTATGATATCAAAGAATTCGTCATTCATGTCTGTAAAAATTAAAGCTTGAAACTAACCAAACACTTTCTATAAAGTGATCTCGCTTACGTTCTGTTGTGACAGACGCTGAAAACGGACTAGTATTGATTTGTGGACCTGATATAGTATAATTCGAGCAAAACTGACTTTCATCATTCACATTGACCATCGAATTTTGAAACACTGGCTGCATATTTTCCGTAGTTGTAGAAAACAAAGCGTTACCTAAAAACAACAATTTTTTGAAAGGTTCTATTTACCTAATCTGCGCAAGAAAATAAGAGAGAAGAAGAGGACAATGTTACAGCTCTAAAATGTGACTTTATGTAACATTAAAGCTAAAACTACTGTCGACAGTAAAATACAGTGCGATCGAATACTTTCTAAATATATCGAGAACAGAAACAGATGGCATTCTGTCATTTTTAGTTTTCAAAAGAGATGGTTTGGGCTCATAAAGCTGCATCCAACTGATTCATCAGTTGCTGACCAATCACATGAACATGCAGCGGAAATTGAAAAGACTATTTCTGTCAAACTGTTTTTCATTCAATTTCGAACTTCAATACGACCACTCTCTAGAAAAATGTCTCCTTCAGATTGATACAAAGCCAGCATTAATGGGCATATAAGCATCTTCTTGAAATGTTTCCACTAGTCAAATAAACTTCAATCGCTCCATGAATTACTATGGCTGAGTGGCTGCGTCGTTAGGCACGTATCCACCGAGTACTGTGCTGAAACCTCACTGCAACCAGCCAGAGTCCGTTCGGTTTATTATTTCGGTCTAAAAAGATTAAAAAAATGACCATGCTCTCATGGTTCGTTTAGATTTGTGTCCTTCCTATACAACATTTAGAGTTTTACTTACATATGTCTGAATTTGTACGTCCAAACCTGCACGGTCTTTCTGTACATTCCATTCATTACTTTCTTTGCTATACATCCGAACCTTGCATCCTTTTCAATAGTGTCAAAACATAAAATAAGGATAGACTTTACTGTGTACAACGAGACGAGTCTGGATTATGGCTCTTCGGAGGATGCATAGCACTCCCGTGCCGCGACGCAGATATAAAATGCTAGCTACGCAGGCAATTTTGTTTTAATTATTGAATAATTGAATCCAACTTTTAAATCTAGCATATGTGACAGATTCGGACGTACACAATGGGAAGTACAAAAGGATGTACAAAAGGGCGTATAGATTTGGACGTACAAAAGGATGTACAAAAGGGCGTATAGATTTGGACGTACAAAAGGATGTACAAAAGGGCGTATAGATTTGGACATACAGAAAAGAAAGTATCACAAATAAAGTATGATTTTATTTGAAATTTAGTCGAATTTTGGATTTCTCTCAGAAAAGACTTGCTATATTTTGATTATTTGTTTCGGATCACTCGTTCGATAGCATGCTGACTAAGTTGTGACAAACACATGCTCTTGTGTCAAGTATGTCGTTAACTAGTGTGTGTGAAGAGCACAAGCTATTGAGCGTAAGTATTCTGCGTGAGGCTGGCTTTCTGTGCAGACCTACAGCTAGTATTTGTTGTAGGGAAGATATGGAGCAATTTAAATCTGCCACTAGTCAGCACTTCAAACTACAAAGTAGGCCAAAGACCTGAATATTTTTGCTTCTTTCAATCCGTGATAGGTCACAATATGAATAATTGACGATTCTTAGTCAAATGTAAAGTTGGCATTTTGTCTTTTGCTGATCAGTAATCGGTAAACTAATCATTTATGAAGGTATTGGTAACTTTTCAAGTTATTCTATTTGAGTTATCGCAGTAAAAGTAAATAGAATTCATCATGCATGCCTTGACAGCTTAATACAACAATCATATATCTTTTTCAGACGACTACACATTACATACATATTTCCAGTGCTCAATCGACAACATGTTCATTTTTGAGGAACATTAATTTACGTTTTAGAGATCGAGTGATTCGTTTCTGTTCGTTAGTGTAGTTTCATTCTATGCGCGTTGAGATTAGAAATGTACTAAAGATAGTTGTGGATGGAAGGCGTAGGTGAATGACAATATGAGTCTTCGTCTAACTCCTTCTACATGGACTCACTCGTCCTTCAAAATTTGAAAAAAAAACAACTCTCTTTTAGATTTTTTTTCTATAAGATGGGAGCTCATGCGTTTCGTCTTCGTAATAATTTTCGTCTGCTGCGGATATTCCAAGGGTTGATTATGTTCACAAGCGGCCATGAAGATCAATGAAAACTCAAAATATGAATTTATTTGAGGGTGAGAGTGAGTAAAAAGAGAACCCTTCTCCTTCATTTGACCACATCCTTACTCACTTTCGAAAGTACTATGTTTTGGTATCGATAGTTATTTTACAACGGCATATGATGTCCTCTTTTAGTAGTGTTTGCATGCGAAGCATAAATGTCGGTAAGTACATGCGTTTTGTGAGTTTCTACAGAAGGAGGGCTCGATAACTGATAAAAGCGTCCTCCTACAAAAATACGATTTTTTTAATGTCAAACTGTAATTAAAAATGTCCTGAAGTGATCAATGGCAGAATTAGGCCTGTGACACTTATTTGAGCTGTGTTCTCGATGATTGAAATAGTCAATGACTATCGTATGTACACTATATTCGGTCGTTGAGGATAATCAGCTCTTTTTATCACCTAATTCGAAGATAGATCAGACTAGTATTCATATAGGTCCATAGCACTTTTCAACAGCTTCTAATTGGTCTAAAAACATCACGGAGAAAACACGGTCTGATATGACTTCACATGGATTACATCGATCTGATATATCCGTGTACCAAGTATTGTCGACATTTTCCACTGAAATCATGTATCGACGTCACCTAATATGATCACCTGTTCGGCTAGTTTTTTTTATAAACACTCAGCACTATTAGAAATTTCGAAGAAACTTATCTAGAAACTTGATTTTGCAATTTTTTTCTGCCTGGCACTGGGTAGGTTTCGATCAGAAAAATATGCTTTGGAAAAAAGCAAATATGATTTTTCTAAATCAGCATCCAAAACTCACTAGACTTACATGAATTTCAAATATTAGCATGAGCTTCTTTTTCTCGAAAAAATTATCCTTCGACGCTCCTCAGGATTGGGTCAAAAGATGTATCTCATCAAAACGTCACTTTTATCGTTTAGCCATCTTTCGTTTTGAGTTCGACTATCATTTTACAGCCTGAGAACGTGATTCCCACTATTGGAAAATTTGTTTTAATGAAATTCATTTTTGAAACAATCGGCAGGGCTGCCGGGGAGGAGGTAAATTTTTCGGGAAAACGAAGTTCACGATAACATTTGAAATTCATATAAGTCTACTGATTTTTAGATACTGATTCAGAAAAATCATATTAGCTTTTACCCAAAGCATATTTTTCTCATCGAAATCTACTAAACACTAGCCAGGAAAAACCACAAAATCATGTCTCGGGAAAAGTTTCTTCGAGATTTCTAATAGTGCGGAGTATTTATAAAAAAATTATCATGACGGTTGATAATATTAGGTGGCGTCGACACATGATTTCCGTGAAAAATTTCGACAATACTTGGTATACGGACATATCAGGTTGATGTGATCCATGTGAAGTCATGTCAGACAGTGCTCTTTCCATGATGTTTTTATACCAATCGAAAGCTGTTGAAAAGTGCTATGGGTCTATATAAATACTAATCTGATCTATCTTCGAATTAGTAGATAAAAAGAGCTGGCTGTCCTCAACAACCGAATATAGCCTACATACGACAGCCATTGACTATTTCAATCATCCGGAACATAGTTCAAATAAGTGTTACAGGCCTAATTCTACCACGGACCACTTTGAGACATTTCTGGTGAGAGCGTGGCATAAAAGAAATAAAATGGTCTGTAGAAGACTGATTTCATCAATTATCGACCCTACTTCTTCAGATCAATTTGAATTTCGTCTAAAATGTTCTACCTTAATAAATACTTCACTTTAGATGTCTGTGAAAATAGAATGGAAAACTGAAGTCACACCAACATCACTAGCAATACTCATGTACATAGTCTGCTAGGTTTACGAACATTCAAACTGTCTTTTATGTTACTGAAGAGTAACTTAGTAAATCCT